GTGAGGGGATAGAGCATGCTCAGTGTAGACAGAGTCTGCAGTTAGTTGCCAAACTCCAACAAGCTTCTAGTGAACATGTGTTAACTGATTTTTCACAGGCTTATTGCTTCGTCAGATTTGGGTAGATTTTTATGGGGATAGCAAAAGGCACATCCCTGACACCATAACAATCTCCTGCTAAATTTCAGATCCGCTGCCCCAAAGCATGGGGGCTCTAGAGCTTCTCAACAAAACAATTGTAAGCTTTTTTTAAGATGAGCAAAGCAACACATTTTTGGCTAACTTCATTCTCAGAAGCAGCTGAACTGTTATAACTGAAACTTTCTAAAAAATTCAGCCTGGGGAAGATACATGGCATGGAAAATTTCCAGCTGATTATAACTTTGATTAAAGTTTAACCAAAGTTATAAGCAACAGAAAACAGAGTATTGGCCAACCTTAATATGAGGTAGGGCTATCAGCTCCACCTATCATAAATTATGAAAACTCCCTGTAATGATGACCAGCTGTGACCGGGGTCCTAATGGGCAGCCAGCTGTGGTCACTCAATTAGGGTGAACTGCAAAGAATGGGCAGCCAAAACCCCAAAAAGCTGGTGGATATTCCAATATTTAGATTTCCAAGCCAGCATAAAACAGCTTCTTTATTATCTTACTGGTTACTCAGAAGTCCAAACAACACAGTTCTCTTAAAGTGATCCAGCCTCAGGCCTCCATCCAGGTACCCACGTCAAATATGATGATCTCTGAAAATCTTATTTCATCATATAAAAGAAAAGGTTCTACCAATCCCAAAGGATTGGACACACTACCTCCCAGGTTAATGAATGTTTCAGATCTTACCCAAATACACGCTACAGCCAATTCTTATTAACGAAACTAAAATTTATTAAAAAACAGAGAGTATGGTTTATTAAAAGAGAGTATGGTTAAAAGATCAATATGCATACAGACATGAGTTCAATTCATTGAGGTGCAGATTCATAGCAGAGATGGTGAGCTTTGTAGTTCAAAGAGTTCCTTTAGAATTCAGTTTATAGGTCATAGTCCAATGTCCAAATCTCATATCCAGGGCATACCAGCATAACTGGGAACCTCAGTCTTGCGACTCAGAGTTCCCCTGTTGAAGTCTAAGCAGATCTGCGATGACAGAATCAGGACCCAAGGATCTTTTATACAATTTCATGTCCTCTTTGACAAGTTGGGAGTTCCTCGGGGAACAAACGGTAATTAGGATGACTTTAAAGGAAGTCCATCACTGGTACTTAGCTGTACGAATTAACATAAGGCCATTTGCTTGTTCCTCCACCATTCACAGTACATTTCAAAGAGAGATGAATACGGAGAGATCCTGTGTTTACAATTCATTTACATGATAGGATATTCTTTTGACCTCTGAACTATCAGAATACAGCGTAGACAGGGACTGTTGATTACATTGTCCATCCTACTCCTACATATGTAAATACACAAAAACACAAACATTATCTCCCACATGTCCTCTGTGGGTTATTTATTTTGCAGGATATTTAACCCTTTCTAGCGTCACACCAGCTCTTAGGCTTTATTTATCCCCAAAGTCCTATGTTTCTTCAGGCTCTGCTCGTTAGGAATTCCTGCACCTTTGACTTTTAATTAGCCATAGCTGGGCTAGTCAGGTTTGGCTTGCTGGTAGCTAGGACTAAGCTGGCAGATTCATTCAATTCCTGGTTTTGGCAGCAGAGGCACTAGCACTTTAGATAAGAGAAGCAAAAAAAGGGGGAGAAAACCCAAACTCTGTACAGCCTTCCAGCTTCACACTGAGCAGGCACCGAGCAGATGCAGTCCTGCCCTCAAGGACCAGATTGGAAATGAAACGATGGTACCTACTCAAGTTCTATTATTTGAGATACTACAAAGGCTTGTTTCAGGGCTCATGTTCACTGCAAAGTTTACCAACCTGAGTTATAACTTGTGTATTGCCCCTAGCTTGACTATTCCTCAAGGTTTCATCACATGACATAGTCTTTAATTAAACATTAATCTTTAATTCCTGGAAACTCCAGGATACTCCTGGAGGGTTGGCAACCCTAAACTTGACTCCAGTCTGCACACAAAAACTCAAGTGTGGTGGTGCTTTGAATTCAAGTTGGCTGGCCAGGTGGATTTAGGCCAAAGCTCACGTGAGCCCAGTTTGTCAGCTGCTAACATACCCATGCTGCAATGTGGATGCAGGCATGTGTCACTAGTTTTCCAGTGCCTTCTTCCACAGTGAAAGAATTCATAGTGTGACTCTGCTTATTATGTGACTGTTAATGAACATGGGATGTGCCTCAGATATCTATACTGCAATCACAGGCTATAACATAGCTATCAAGGGTACCGGAGCAGCGAAGCCATGACAGTGTTGACTTACCCTTTAGTGCCAACCATGAGTGATTGCAGTGCCAGTGTGGACACAGTAGTGAAGTATTATTTCACAGTCTGGCAGTTGTTGCTTGAGCTCTACTAACTGAGAGAAGTAATGAGAGTCCAAACACTCAAGTGAACTCTGCAGTGAAGCCATAACCTCAGGCTTTCTGCAGACTTAGTTACACGCTGAAGCTTTTCTTTGCAACTTAGGGCTAGAGTCAGTCCAAATGGGGTGTCCCAGTTTGGGGGAGTTTTAGAAGCACCCATATCCCACGCTGCAGTCAGTGGGAGCTGAAACTGCTCATCTCTGGGCCCCATGTTGAGCACCACTTCTGGAAAATGTTTGTATCGTTGTTGGAAATTGAATTTAAGATTGTGAGACATAAAAAGCACCCAGCAGAGAAAGTACTGGCTGCCTAAGCTACCATGAGCTGACCCATTCTGACCTCTGTGTGCCCTGGGGAACTTTCAATCTAAAGAAGACACTATATACCATCCCAACACACTCTGTGCATGTTTAGCTTCTTATCAATTTAGTGAAGGTTTGGAGGTTGGATTTTTGGGTGTGCTTTTTATGTGCAATGTTCAGAATTATTTCTTCCCTTTTTTCCTCCAAGTTTAAGATGTTTCCTCTTCTAGATACTAGTTGGAAGAAGAAAGGGAGTGAGAGAGGAGGTGGAGTAGGAAGTGAGGTGTGGGGAAGCAGGAGTGCAGATGGGGTATGGCAAGGACTCATGAGGAAACAGCCATAGGCCAGTGAATGAGGCAGGGTGTCGAAAGGGCAGCACCAGGAACATCACCTGTTTTGTGGAGAACAGGCCCTAATGGAGTAGAGGAATATTTCACTGAGTCCCTGCAGGTTAGCTCCAGCTGAGAGGACAGCAGGGGAAAAATCATCTGATGCCCAAGAAGGCAGAGCTGGAGCAGTGATGGTGGTAGCTGGGGCTTTTATAAGCCATCCTTAAATACAGTTGAGCTTGGGAGGCTTTTTCAGAAGAGGGATCCCTTCAGGCATCCCCAGCTCCTGGCTCTTAATATGTGCTTGATTAGAGGGGAAGGGATTTCACAGAGAGGGTGAAGAGTCATGGAGTGAGTAAACTTCTGCTCCTAAACCAGCATACAGAACTTTAGGGCAGGAGTGGGGTCTGAAGCTAACATTCCATCTCGACAGGTAGAGGACTCGGGACAGGACACAAGTCCCCCAGTTACTATCTCCAGTGGGTAGAACCTTGGGAAAGTAACTAAGGGGCCTGAATCCTATCTCCAGTGGATTAAGGCCGTGAGACAGTAACTGGGGAGCCTGGGTCCTATCTCCAGTGGGAAGGGGCCATGGCGACACTAACTGGGAGATCCAGGTTTCCATCTCCCGCAGGTGGAGGCCTCTGAATGGCCCAGTGGAAAGGGGTCCTGGGGACAGTAACTGGGGGGGGGGGGGGGGGG